CAGAAAGATTTAATACCTGATTTTAAATCAGATATTATAAAATCAGAAAGGATTCGATCCAGGCAGATATTATAAAATCAGAAAGATTTTATATCTGATTTTATATCTGATTTTAAATCAGATATTATAAAATCAGAAAGGATTCAAACCAGGCACATCTTTGGCTTGGGATTCGTCTCCAGTGTGTTCCCTTGGTGAGCAGATCCCAGAATAGCACCTGATTGGGAGCACTTTGAGTCTGAATTGCACAGACACCACAACAGCCTGGTGTGCTGATTAAATCCCTCACTTGCTGTTGGGTGTTTTAGGGTGATTCATTTGCATTAAAAGTGGCTAAAAATCATATAGATATTTTTTCAGAGGAGCTGAGACTTCGACTCATGAGGGGAGGGAGCAAATCCCTGCAGGTCCCTCACACCAGGGTCTTGGTTTGGGTGGAACAAACTGTGTTAACGTTAATTCAGCATCCCTCTTGGTTAATAAATCTTGGGAATCCTCTTCCTTCCTTACAAATTCTTCTCCCTGCCGTTCCCAGTTTCAATATGTGTCCCAACAACTGCTCTGGCCGAGGGGAGTGCAAACTCAACAGCAGCACCAAGGCTCTGGAATGTGACTGTGCCAAATACTGGAAGGGTGAAGCCTGTGACATTCCCTACTGCACCGAGGACTGTGGGGCTCCTGAGAGGGGCCACTGCAACAGCAATGACTCCAAGGCCTGTGTGTGCTCCCCAGGCTGGCAAGGTGAGTGTCCTGGGGGATGGAGGGAAGTTTTGGGATGTATTTTCCATGTGGGGCACTGGCAGTTTTAATTGGGAGTATGTGGGAATATTCCCAATGACAAGTGTTAGTGTTTCGACCAGGAACAGAGCATCTGCTTTTTAATATTAAAGGATCACACTCCATTTGGAAGGATGGAGCTGCTGGAGTAAGTCCAGAGGAAGCCCCGGAGATGCTGCCAGGGCTGGAGCCCCTCTGCTCTGGAGCCAGGCTGGGAGAGCTGGGGGGGTTCCCCTGGAGAAGAGAAGGCTGCAGGGAGAGCTGAGAGCCCCTTGCAGGGCCTGAAGGGGCTCCAGGAGAGCTGGAGAGGGACTGGGGACAAGGGATGGAGGGACAGGACAAGGGGGAATGGCTTCCCAGTGCCAGAGGGCAGGGCTAGATGGGATATTGGGAAGGAATTGTTGGCTGCAGGAGTGCCCAGGACAGACAGGCTGCCAGAGCCAACCCCTGCCAGGCAACTGCCTTCACCTCCTGACTCCAGAGAGAAGATTCACCTCAGGATAAAGCATTTAAAGTGCCAGAGGGCAGGGATAGATGGGATATTGGGAAGGAATTGTTGGCTGGGAGGGTGGGGAGGCCCTGGCCCAGGTTGGGCAGAGAAGCTGTGGCTGCCCCTGGATCCCTGGAAGTGTCCAAAGCCAGGTTGGACAGGGCTTGGAGCAACCTGGGATGGTGGGAGGTGTCCCTGCCCATGGCAGGGGTTGGAACTGGATGATCATTATTATCCCTCCCAACCCAAACCATTCTGAGATTGTGTGATTTTTAACAAAAGGCTTTTAAAAGCAGTTTTGCCCCCATGCACAGCAGGACCAGCCTGTGGTTTGGAGGCATCAGGTAACAACTTTAAACCTCCTTCCTGTGCACCTAAAGCAAATTTGAGCCACGACTGAGCTGTTTGAACACACAACATGCCTCATTCTCATGTCCAACTGAGCTGAGCAGCCTCAGTTTTAGCAGGGCTTTGGGCTGAGGGCACATTTTTCCTTTGCATTGACATCCTGACATGTAAAAACTAGTCTTACATTAAATGCAACCACCTACAGCCCTTGCAGGAGATTGACCTGGAGCTGAAACACAGGCTTTGGGAAAAAAGAAAACCAAACAACAACTTCATTTTTAAACCTTCTTTTGCCAGGTCCTGGCTGTTCAATTCCTGTTCCTGCAAACCAGTCCTTTTGGACCCGGGAGGAATATTCTCTTCCCAAACTTCCCAGAGCATCCCACAAAACAGTCATCCATGACAACAAGATGTGGATTGTTGGGGGCTACGTCTTCAATCACTCTGACTCTCAGAAGGTTTTGGCGTGAGTATAAACCCAGAGAATAAAATCTAAAAAGAGAGAGGAGCTTGGATTTGGGAGTTATTTTTTAGGAGTGTGTGTTTTGCTTTGGCTCCATCTCCAGGGGAAAAACCAGCCTGGATAAAAACTCCAGGCTCACGTTTTGAGACGTTGGAGAACGCTGCCAAGGGGGTGCTAATTTGGGAAAAGATAAAGTGGAAGGTTCCTGATGTTCAGGGAGTTTTTGAATCATCTGTGTCTGACAGCTTTTAAATATTCACTCTGCATTTCTGGGCCACCTCCTGAATTATATCTCGGATTAAAGGAGGGTTTTGCTTCGGAGTTTTTAGCCCTGATGTTCTATTTGTGTGACTTCAGAGGCTTTGGCTCCTTAATTAACACCTCCTGATCACCATGGATGGTTTTCCATAAAGGATGGGATACAAACAGGGAATGACATTTAGGATGAGGAAATTTAAGCAGCTAATGGAGGAGATTTAACAGTAACTAAAACATCAAGTAATAATTGGGAAATCCCTCCTAAAAACCATCAGTTTTTCAGGCTTCCCCTCAAGCTTGATGGTATTGGGGCAGAACTAGGCAAAAGCTGGATTTTTTTTTCCAGGGATGGCTTTGTACCTCCCTTTGTACCTAAATGGGAACTGTGTGTTCTGCACTCACATCCAGAGATAATAGTTCTTGTAGGGGAAATTAAAGAGAAGCTGAAAACACACACTTTTTTAATGGGATGCCCTATGGCTTTGTTGAACACTCTCTCAGGGATGATTTTATCTCACAAGGCTCTAAGCCTGACAGATATAGTGCATTATTTTAAATAAAGAGCCACAGGCCATTTTCAGGGCTGGAGGTTTGTGTTATTTCAAGCTTGAATGGCAAAAACATAATTAAAAAGTGCTTTTTGAGCACTCAAAGAGGTTTTTTTTATCAAGTAGTTGGAACTTACCTGAGTTCAGTGTGAAGTTTTTATACTTTTTTGAGGGATGATGTGGTGTTGGTGACACAGTTTAATAGACAGTTCATTAACTCTTGGATTTGCATTGGAAAGGACACAGGATGAAGCAAATCAATATGTGGGTGTTGAGTAACAGAGCAGGCTGGACTGGGTTTTTTAATCCATAAGTAGCTTGTGGGAGCTTTGTGCATGCTGAAATCATGGCAGGATTTATTATTTTAGTAAATAATAATTTATATCATGATATTGTTTTGGTAAATAATTCCCCCCGAATCTTGGAAAGGACAAGCCATAACTTTCCCAACTTTAATACCTATTTCTTGGAGGTTAATTCACTTTTTATTACCCAGGTATGACCTTATTTCTGAGGAGTGGCTTCCCCTGAACAACTCTGTGAACTCAGTAGAGATGAGATATGGTCATTCCTTGGCATTACACGAGGTAAGTTCAGAATTCCTAACTCACTTCCCAGCTGATTTCCCCCTTCTTCCCCCTGGCTTCCCACCCCTTATCCCGGATCAGTCGTGTTTGGGAGGAGCATTTCTCCTTCCAAGGCTTGTCCATGGTTAGCCCAGGCTGTGTGCTCGTGCTCCAGAGAATCCTTGAGCTGATATCCTGGGAAGTCTGTGGTGCCTTTGCTTGTGTGTTCCTTGTTTGCCCTTTTTCCAGGGATTTTAGGGCTGTCTGAGGTCAGTGAGTCCATTATTTCCTCCTCTTTGCTCTCTGTGCTGGCAAGACACGCCTGAGGCAGAGTTTGCTGGAGTTCAGCTGCTTCCCAGCTGCCTTTTGTGTGAATCCCATAAATATTTTTATGAGCTCTGTTGTCCAAGGCACCAGAGCAGAGCTGGGGAATCAGGGATTTTTGGAACTTGCTCTTCTCCTGCAGTAAAACTGTGCTCTTCCAGCACCCACAGCAGGTGGATTTGATGCTTTTACCTGCCTTTCTCCCCCCTGTGCCTTGCTGTGGGGGAGAGCAGGATGGCAAAGGCTTTGGAAAGGAAATGAGCTGATCCTTTCCTGACCTTTGGTTTTTTTGGAATGTTAATTAGCTCATCACAGTGCAAGGCTACACAAAGCTTAATTATAAACACTCAAAAACTCCCCCACAGCACCAGTTCACAAACAGAGCACTTGAACAACCTGAAAGGATGGAAATTCATCCTGGAATCACAGAATGGTTTGGATTGGAAGGGACCTTAAGGATCATCCAGTCCCACTCCCAGTTCACAAACAGAGCACTTGAACAACCTGTGAAAGGATGGGAATTCATCCTGGAATCACAGAATGGTTTGGTTTGGAAGGAGCCTTAAGGATCATCCAGTCCCATTTTCAGGCACAAACAGGGCACTTGAAAGGATGGGAATTCATCCCGGAATCACAGAATGGTTTGGATTGGAAGGGACCTTAAGGATCATCCAGTCCCACTCTCAGCCATGGGCAGGGACACCTTCCACTATCCCAGGTTGCTCCAAGCCCTGTCCAACCTGGCCTTGGACACTTCCAGGGATCCAGGGGCAGCCACAGCTTCTCTGGCCAACCTGGGCCAGGGCCTCAGCACCCTCCCAGCCAACAATTCCTTCCCAATATCCCATCTAACCCTGCCCTCTGGCAGTGGGAAGCCATTCCCTGTGTCCTGTCCCTCCATTCCTTATCCAAAGTCCCTCTCCAGGAGACTTCATCAAGTATTTTCGGTTACTTCAGACCAGCAATTCATTCCGTACCTATTTCCTAAATCCCTTGGCCTTATTCCACGTGTGCCTTTTTTCCAGGACAACATCTACATGTATGGAGGGAAGATTGATGCCACGGGGAACGTGAGCAGCCAGCTGTGGGTGTTCCACATCTCCAACCAGAGCTGGGCCCAGGTGTCTCCCAAGGCCAAGGAGCAATACGCCGTGGTGGGACACTCTGCCCACATCGTCACCCTGCGGGACAACAGCACTGTCATGCTGGTCATCTTCGGCCACTGCCCCCTCTATGGCTACATCAGCAATGTGCAGGAGTACAACCTGGGTGAGTGGGGCCCTCCCTGCCTCAGCTTTGCCTTGGTTTGGCAGTTCTTGAGCTTTTGATATTTGTAGAATCTAGCAGCCTCCGACTTCACACCCTGAGGTAGCTCCTGAAGACACAAAAGAATCTGTGGTGGAGACACAGAGCAGGAGAACTGAATTTTCCTCTTTCCCTCTGGTAAAACAAACACTTCTGAAAGTTATAGAATCATAGAATCAGCTGGGTTGGAAGGGACCTCCGAGATCATCAAGTCCAACCCTTGATCCAACCCCGCCGTGGTTCCCAGCCCATGGCACTGATGCCACATCCAGTCTCTTCTTAAAAACCTCCAGGGATGGAGAATCCACCCCCTCCCTGGGCAGCCCATTCCAATGGCTGAGCACCCTCTCTGGAAAGAAATTCTTTCTGATCTCCAACCTAAACCTCCCCTGGCACAGCTGAAGACCCCGAGCCCTCTTGTCTTGCTGAGAGTTGCCTGGGAAAAGAGACCAACCCCCCCCTGGCTCCCCCTCCTGTCAGGGAGTTGCAGAGAGTGAGGAGGTCTCCCCTGAGCCTCCTCTTCTCCAGGCTGAACAGCCCCAGCTCCCTCAGCCTCTCCTCATAGGACTTGTGCTCCAGTCCCTTCCCCAGCCTCGTTGCTCTCCTCTGGACCTGCTCCAGGACCTCAATATCCTTCCTGAGCTGAGGGCCCAGAACTGGACACAGCACTCCAGGGGTGGCCTCACCAGTGCTGAGTCCAGGGGCAGAATCACTTCCCTGGCCCTGTTGGCCACACTGTTCCTGCTCCAGGCCAGGATCCATTGGCCCTCTTGGCCACCTGGGCACACTCTGGCTCCTGTTCAGCTTCCTGTCAATCCAAACTCCCAGCTCCCTTTTTAATCAGATTTTTTTCAATAAGAATTTTTTTAATTCAGACCAAACACCTGCTTAACCTGACCCCCATGTCCCCTAAACAGGGGCTTAAGGTGAACAGGGGATGGATTTCTGGATTCCCATATCCCTGGTATGGTCTGATCCCCGTGTCTCTGGAAATAGATGTGATGATTTTAAGATTCTGAGGGTGATTTTAAGATCCAGAGATTTCTAGTGAAGCACAGGAAGCTCTCCAGGTGAACTGAATTCCCTCCTAACTCTGAAATGGAGTCACATCCCTCGCTCCAGGTGGGGATCATGGTTAAGCACAGGGAGCTCACAGCAGGAATGTGCTGATTATTCTCAAAAATAGTGGCTCTGTCTGCACTTGGAACCCTTTATCCTTGTCTTCTAGTCATCCCGATCCAGGGAATCTACTGGAGCTGGTTCTCTGGTGTCCACAGGAGGGAGTTTTCTTCCTCTTGGAGAGATCCAGGGAGAACCAGGACGTGTGGGGCAGTGGTTTATTTTTCCCACACTGTCCAGTTCCTTTGCTTTTTGTGTGCCAGCTCTGCCCTGGGGTTGGGAAGCCTGTGCAGGGTTTCATTCTGCACTTACTATGGAGATTTGCTGTGTAATTTGGCATTTTTATTCCAGTTGCTGTTACATTATGTCTAAAGTGCTTCAGACCAATGTTATTTTAGTGAGTGAGATACAGGACCATTAATCACATATTAGTTTTTAACTGCCCTGTTCTTCACAGTCAGACTTGGCTTCAAGTGCTGTCTGGCTTTATATATATATATTTATACATACATAAAAAGTAAAAGTGCTCTTGGGTCCCATTCCAAACCAGGTCCCAGTGCTGGCATTTTCATGTCACTGGAATGCAATCCATTATTTCTCTATTTTTTATCTCTCATTTACTTAGATTGCCTGCAAAAATGTAATAAATGACCGCGAAAAAGCTGCTTCTGCTCTAATTAAAAATACTTTACAGTCCTTCTTGACAACAAACTCCTTGAAGGAGGATATTTTTGGCTGGGAGGTGATAGAGACAGTGTGGAGATCCGAGTCAGGGGAATCCCAATTTGTGTTGCTGATGAGTTATTAAAGGAGAGCAATTGATTGTGTTTTATCACCCTGTTTTTTCAGTGACAAATACCTGGAGCATTTTACAGACCAGTGGAGCTCTGGTGCAGGGGGGGTATGGCCACAGCAGCGTTTATGATCCCAACACCAGATCCATTTACATCCATGGAGGTTACAAAGCCTTCAGTGCCAACAAGTACAGGCTGGCAGATGATCTGTACAAATATGAAGTTGATTCCCGGATGTGGTAAGTGGGTTTTCCTTCTTTTTCCCCTTTTCCCACCCCATATTTTTATCTCCAGTGGACGAGAGGGTGGAGGATTTGAGAAGGGTACAGTGGTTTATGTCTGCCTGTGTTCAGGAGAGATGCTGTTCTCTTGGATCTCTTATTTTTATATCCCTTTATGAATGGAGAATCATATAATCACATCTAATCAAGGCTGTGAACGAGCCAAGCAATCCATTTTAATCTGTTGTTCCATTCAAGCTGAAAAGAGAAATATTTGATGGTTTTTTCCTTGCCAGCCTGTGCATATGAGTGCAGTTACTGCAGTCAAGTGAGGGATAATTCACTCTGCAGTTAAGACTGTAAAAGAATTTCTATTACAACCCCATTTTCTTCTGGCTCTGTAACTGCTCGAAATGTTCATTTCTTAAGCTGAAAATCTTCTGTGATTTGTTTCTGCTCAAAGGTGAGTTTTATTAAAAAACTGTAGCCTCACTTCACGACTTGGAGGTGAAATACATTCTCCTTAGTTCTGTGGTTTTCTTCAAGTTCTTTCTAAAAGCTCCTGACAAAAAGGAGACTCTCTCTTGAGTTAAGACATGGAAATTTGAGTCACCCTATCTGGGGTTTTTTTTGAGGGTTAAAATACTCTGTGTTTCTGCAACAACTGTCTGTGTGTCTGTGCTGATGAGAGAAATAACGAGGGACTAATTTCCAACCTCTTCCTTCCTGCTCCCTTGTGCACAGAGTGTAACCCCACTTCCTTTGTGGGTTCATTTGATCCTCCACTTCAGCCAATTCAGCAAATCTGGGCTGAACAGGCACAAAAATGTCACAGATGTGACAATGTTCTTCCAAACTGCCGCAGCACCAACTTCCTCGTGTCACATCAGCTCTGCCAGCCCGGGGAGCCCTGGGGGACAAGCCCTGCAGGGAGAGGGTGGCACTGACTGCTCACCTCAAGCTCTGCTTTGTTTTGCTGTCATTGACTCCCTTTTTTTATTCTTCAGTGATTCAGACCCTCTCTTCCTCGTTAAATCTCGTGAGATTCCCATGGGCTCTCTTCTCTACCTTGTCCAAGTCTCTCTGGATGGTTTGTCACCCACGTGCTCAGCTTGGTGTCCCTTGGTGAGGGGACCTGAAACACCAGCAGGTTCCACCCCCTACCATGGGCAGGGACACCTTCCACTAGCCCAGGTTGCTCCAACCTGGCCTTGGACACTCCCAGGGATCCAGGGGCAGCCACAGCTTCTCTGGGCAACCTGTGCCAGGGCCTCCCCCACCTTCCCAGCCAGGAATTCCTTCAAAATTTCCCATCTATCCCTGCCCTCTGGCAGTGGGAAGCCATTCCCTGTGTCCTGTCCCTCCATGCCTTGTCCCCAGTCCCTCTCCAGCTCTCCTGGAGCCCCTTCAGGCCCTGCAAGGGGCTCTCAGCTCTCCCTGGAGCCTTCTCTTCTCCAGGGGAACCCCCCCAGCTCTCCCAGCCTGGCTCCAGAGCAGAGGGGCTCCAGCCCTGGCAGCAGCTCCGGGGCCTCCTCTGGACTCTCTGCAGCAGCTCCACGTCCTTGTGCTGTTGTTCCCAGGGCTGGAGGCAGCTCTGCAGGGGGGTCTCATGAGACCAGAGGAAAGGGGCAGAATCCCCTCCCTCAACCCAAACCCTCTCAGAACAGCAGGAGAATTCTCCAAAGGATGACCCTTTGTGTTCAGTCAGTGGCATCGCTCCCCCTGGTTAACAATGAGATCAGTGCCCAGTTTGATCAGTGCTCTCCATGATTTTGTCACAGAGGAGCCCTTGAGTTGGGCAGGTATTAACCTGCAGGGCTCCATTTTTGGGAGCTGCAGAGATTTCCTTCAAACAGGATTGTTAGTTTTGAGCAGCAGCTGCTGCCCAGTGTGAAAGAATCCTTTGGGCTGCTATAAAAGCAGAGTTACTCTAAAATATTGGAGTCCTCCCGGGCTGTCTGTGCTCAAAAGCCCAGTTAGAGTGAAAAGTTGAGAATCCCTGGGGAGGGAATTGATGATACAAAGATCCATAGCTTTGGAAAGAGGCTCTCATAGATATATTTCTCCTCTAAACTGGCAAAGCAGATGGGAAGATGAGAATGAAGTTACAGAAGGGATCGGAGAGTGTGGAAAGGAAGTTGTTAAACACCTCATTAGGAAAAGCAGTTAAACACTTTATCCCCCCTTTTTCCCTGCACTTCTCCAGCTTGGGTTTATGGATTGGTTTGTCTGTGTTGGGTGCTGTTCAGCCTGGTGTGCTGGTTTAAAGGTAAACCAGCAGGGGAAATGAACTCAACTCAAAGGAGAGATTGTAAGTCAGAATAACAATTTAATAAAGTAATACAATAAATACAATTATACAGACAAACAATTGGTTTTAACCCACGAACCCCAAATGTATAACCCAGCACCCTGGGGCATGAACAGAGTGGTGTTCCTTGGGCCCCCTGAGTCCAAAGGAAAAGGAGAGGGGAAAACCTGTTGGTGAGAGTGCTGGTGCAGTCTGGTTGAGAGTGGTGGTCACAGTCCTTCTCTGGATCCCACGAGTGGTTAAAAAAAGTCCCAAGACTCCAAGATTATCTATCCTCCAGTTCAGGCAGGAATGCCCAGTACCTCCCTCAGGGTGGGGAGTTCCACCCTGGGTGTGAGGACAGGAGCACCCTCCTATCAACACCCAGTTTACAGCCTGAGGGGTCAGGGCTGCTCTGGGCAGATGGTGTAAATGGTCTGTTGATAACAGTTTCTGAGAAATGGCATGGAAGGCTCTGGAATACACAGTTTGGGTTCATCCAGTGGTGAACTGGTCCCAGCTGTTCTAACTAGGACAGCAGGTTAATGGCTGTGTTTTTATTCCCCAAGGACCATCCTGAAGGACAGCCGCTTTTACCGCTACCTGCACACGGCCGTGGTGGTGAGCGGGACCATGCTGGTGTTCGGGGGGAACACCCACAACGACACCTCCATGAGCCACGGGGCCAAGTGCTTCTCCTCGGATTTCATGGCCTATGACATCGGTGAGTTCTCCCAGAAATCCTAAGGAAAGGCCCAAATTCTCGGCTATCCCGAGGGAGCCGCTGATTTCCGTGCTGGGTGTGTCGTCCCGAGCGCTGCTGGGCAGAGGGATGTGGGATCAGGAGAAGGAGGCTCGTTAGGTCGCTCCAGAATTCCAAGGAAATGAGGTGGTGCAGTGATTTCCAGCAGCAGGTACTCTGTCAGCAGTTTATGCACAACCTTGGGCACTAAAAATTAGGGTTTTGTTACAGAATCATAAAAATCAAGGAATCATTAAGGTTGGAAAACACCCTTAAGATCATCAAGTCCAACCATCAACCCAGCACCACCTTCTTCACCACTAAACCATGTCCCCAAGTGCCACATCCACGTTTTTTGAACACTTCCAGGGATGGTGACTCCACTTCTTCTTCCTTGGGCAGTGTTTTGTTTCCAGTGTTTTGCAACCCTTTCCTTGAAAAAAACACATCCTAAAATCCAATCTAAACCTCCCCTGGCACAACTTGAGGCTGTTCCCTGTCCTGCTGTCTCAGCCATGAGTTCTCCAGATATTTTGAGAGTGGTTTAATTTGTTATTTGATAAAAAAGGCAGGTTTTTAGGACAGTTCCAAGCACTGGAAGCTGCTGAAACTCAGCCTGTGCAGTGCACACTCTGGTTTTAAACTACTTTATTCAGCAATAAAGCAGAGTAGTAGGTTGGCTTTGCTGAATTTGAGTAGCCAGGAGAGGGCAGCATTTATTTGTGAATTTGGAGTCCAGAGATGGTGAATTTGAGAAGGAGAGGAAAAGGAGAGATGGAATTATCTGAAAGAAGAGATGGAATTATCTAAAAGAAGGTGCATATGCACCCAGACAACTCACAGTGGGGAAAAACACCATTCTCTGTTCTGTCACATCTGTCTTCTGCTCTCAGAATTCCCTGAATTTGGGTTCTCAGGATGAATTCCCTGAAATAATCACGTAAATCTGAAATCTTGCAGTGAGTGTCCACTGAGATCTCCCTCCTGGTTTGTGAGAGGAAAACACAGCTGAACCAATTACTTGGATCATCAGGGTTTGACATCCTTGTACCATCTTTCCCCTTCGTTACAAGGATCATTCCCTTCTGCTTCCTGTGATTTCCAGTCGTATTCCTGTGGAATTTTTGTAGCTGGCTTTATTTTGATGTGTTTTTTTTTTTAACTCAAGGAATTAAAATGAGATATTCCACCAGATTGGATGGGGCTTGGAGCAACCTGGGATAGTGGAAGGTGTCCCTGCCCATGGCAGAGAGTGGAACAAGATGATCTTTGAGGTCCCTTCCAACCCAAACCATTCCATGGTTCTGTGACAGTCATCAACAGTTTAATTTTTTTAAACTTTGATTGCAACAGTGATTGATTTTCCTTGCTGCATTCTGCTGTCTGCCCTGACCTGTTGAACTGTCTGTTGGATTTAAAGCCCAATTTGCATTAATTTGACAACATGTGCCAACAATGATGTTCATTTTGACTCATTTTAGTCACCAGGCAGGTTCCTGATATGTGAAATAAGGGGTGCAGTTAATTTTCAGTTTTACCCTGAGATTTAGAGCTTGCATTGATTTAATTTCACCTGATGGGGTGAGACGTGTTTTGGTGTTCTTGGGTCCCCTCATTCTTTAGGGAAGAGACTCTCAGCCCAAAAAGAGCAGCTTTTTTTCAGATAACAGCCCACTTTCTCTCTTCTCTTCATGGCAGGACCCCTTGTGCCTGGTTTTCCTTCTCCCATTTGTCTGGGAGCAGTGCCAGGAATACCTCGGGGTGGTGGCTGATCATTGGTGTCACAGCAGAAACACCTCCTGGGTGGTTCTTCCTGCAGGATCTCTGCAGTAATTAATTATCTTGTTCATATTCACGTTGGTCTCCATGGAAATAAGTCCATATAAACCCCCTGTTATCTATCCCTTGATATTCCCAAGGCACAAGTTACCCAGAGAGAACCAAGCAAGGTCAGTTTTCTCCAAGAGGCTTTAATAATTGTCTTTATTCCCCACTTTTAGAATAGTCTGGCTGGCTGGTTTGCTCATCTTTTACATCTTGTTGATGAATGATCCTGATTGATTAGTGATTAGGTTAATTAGTGATCATACTGATGGTTGGAAGACTGGAATTAAACCCAGTCTAACACAAAGGCTTCAAACCCAGCTCTTCTCAACCTTTGCCATTAAAACTCATTTTGGAATTAACTGATTTTATTGACATCATCAGATTTTTCCTGTTTTCCCTCCTCTAATTTCCAAGTAAGGAGAGCACATGCACTGAGTGTTCTGAGGACAGAAAATCTCCTTTTTTTATGTGTGTGGGGGATACCAACAGGTGTCAGAAATGTGTGCTGGGCTTTAGCAATGGGGGAGATCTGAGAATTCATTGATGTTTCTTATCCTTTATACTTCACTTGACCAGGTTGGGGTGTGTTCAGTGCAAATTGTCCAGGTAATGCCTGGTTTGGGAAGGTTTCAGGATAACAATCCAGCTCTCTGTGTGCTTGTGCAATTCCTGTTGAATCTCACAGTATTTTCCCTTTTGGAAAATGGCAAATTAACTCTTCCCGTCCCCAAAATTGGTCTTTTTGGCCTTTGGCAAAGAATATCTTGCTCTGCAAGAGCTTTAAGTGGAAAAATGCCTCATTTAATCCCCTCCTATTCATGTAAAGCTCTACTTGTGTAAAGATCTTTTCTTGCCACAGAAGGAAAATTAAAACTCTTCTATTTACCCCATCAAAAATTCAGATTTAGATCACAAACATAGGAAGAGGCTGCCTGTTTCCACAGCAGATGTGTTCTGTTTGAACAGTACATTTAATAAATCCTGGGCATTGTTAAGTCTTAGGCTTGGCTTAACTCCTGAGTCAGGAAGGAGTAGATTCTTTTGTAGTCTCAGAATTACTCGTTTTTTCCAATACTTGATCTTGAGTTAAAGATGGGAAAGAAGCTTAGAAAGCAAAACATTCCAGGCCTTCTGTTAATCTAGAAAAATATGTTTCTTGGCCTCACATAACACGCAACTTGATGGCTAAAAAACTGCAAATTGCTGTCCAATTTTGCTGAAGTCTCCTGCTAGAAATTGGAACGGTGCATTCTTGGCTTGGGAATGATGCTGGGATAGGTTAAATTCTTTGGAAATCGAGCAGATGATATGTAAAAATAAACTTCAAAATCACACTTCATCAAAGGATTAAATCCAACAGGGCACTTTGTCTTTCATTTCTCAGCACTTTTGGACAAAGTTGCCATGGATCTGTTGTTTTATCCAACAGTTCTCCCATTCAATTAGGTGAAAAATGAACAAGTTTTATCTTGTACTAAAGAATCTTGGAGTATTTGAGGGCTCTGTGGATCTTTACAGCAGATTGACTTTTCTCTCTTAATTGCATAAATTGCATCCAAGTGCCTCTGGGACGTTGGTCCCCAAGGTGATCCCAATTCCCTTTGTGGAGTCGAAGTGACATGAATTGGACTGACTTTTCCTGCCTTTGTTCCTTTGCTCAGTGGGTTGGATGTTTCTTAGCTTGTTTTTTCCTTTTTTTTTTATGCACTGCCCAAAGGAAAAAAATTACCTGAGAAACCGAGTGAAAAAAAAATGAGGCAGAACTTAACAAATGTTATGCTAATAGAAAAAAAAGATGGAATAATCTCATGTTGTGTTAAAAGAGGAAAAACAGCCACGAATCCCTAAGCTCTGATGAGCGAGAAATGTTTTTAAAAGCATGGATATCTGCCCTCTAGGAACATAATTGCAATGGAAATAAAAAGGAAGATAAGCCTCTGTTCTCAGTGATGCTGGTTCGGGGCAAAACTGCAAATAATTCACGTGTAAACAGATAAAAACTGAACTTGTTACACGGGGAAAAATTCCACTGGTAAAGGAGGGAAGCAGCTTCCTCTTGTCCTGTTCCCTGGGATAAGAGACCAGGAGAAAGAGACCAAGCCCCTCTTGGCTCTCCCCTCCTGTCAGGGAGTTGCAGAGCCAGAAGGTCCCCCCTGAGCCTCCTTTTCTCCAGGCTGAGCCCCCCCAGCTCCCTCAGCTGCTCCTGCTGCTCCAGCCCCTTCCCAGCTCTGTTCCTTTCCCTGGACATGCTCCAGCTCCTCAATGTCTTTGTTGGAAGATCCCAGGTACTTTGGGATTTTCCAGGAAGGGTTGTGCTATGTAATTGTCCTGTTCATTATCCCGGGAATGTTTCTGAAATGAATGTTTTCCATCCCAGCGTGCGATCGATGGTCGGTCCTTCCCCGCCCGGGGCTCCACCACGACGTGAACAGGTTTGGACACTCGGCTGTGCTGTACAACAGGTAAGGACAGAGACATTCCACACCTCCATAAACGCCCCCCACGGGGAGGGCAGGGGTGCTGAGACCAGAGGGGTGAGGATCTGGCACAAACCTCCTTGTCCAGAGAAGCTGTGGCTGCCCCATCCCTGGAAGTGTCCAAGGCCAGGTTGGACGGGCCTTGGAGCAACCTGGGCTGGTGGAAGGTGTCCCTACCCATGGCAGAGGGTGGAACTGGAGGGTCTTTGAGCTCTCTTCCAACCCAAACCATCCTGTGATTCTCTGAACCTCTGACAGTTCTCAGCTCTTCACTTTTGTAGTGTCATCAGTGTCCCCCTGTGCCAATGATCCCTTCACTGGACTAAACTGCCTCAACTCACTAAACTGTCTCAGCTCACTTCCTTCTTTCAATATCTTGATTTTTTTCTTCATATTTCTATTCCTTTCCCCTACTTTTATGTATATTCCTATTTCTTCTTTATTTCTGTTTCTTCCTTATTTCATAATTACTCCTTCCAATTCATTTCACATTTCTTACTTAGATGCACTGACAACTCCTTTCTCCAGACCTTCCTTTACCTCGTGGTATCTCAGTTTGTCCATGTTTCAGTTTATACACTTTCTCCTGTCAGTTTACACACCTTTATCCTGTGGGGCTCTTCTTTCCCAGCCATGTGATGTCCAATATTTAGGGAAAATCCTAAGTGGGATTCCAGCTGTTAAGCTTTACCCACTGTAGTGATATCCCTGCTTTCAGGTGAACAGCTATTGCTGTATTTATGTCCATGGAACCAACTCTGAGAAGTTTTATTTCATAGGAGTCCTAAAATAGGATGAAAATCATAATAAAAAATACTCATTAATCAACCAAAACTTGCCTTGATCCTTCTCCACTGTCTTTTTTTACCTGTGCCTGCAAACTTGGATTCACAGGGAATTTTTGAGTGACATTTTTATGTAACTAACAAAACTTGATGTTTTACCTGAGGCAGTTGTGATCCTAAAGAAGGTTTAAAAACCTCACCCCTTCTTCTACAAAATATTCTGTTATTTTGGGGGTTGTTTGGTGTTTTTTTTAGCAGACACAATGACTCTGTTCAGTTGGTACCAGCCATGAAAACTGGTTTTGTGCCAGCGGAGCAGCGACAGCGAAGCACCAAACTGTTTTGTCCCAGTTCCTAAACTCTGCTTTGATGGTCTGATACCATCTCCCAGATTTTTAGCCTTCCTCCCTCTCTTGCCACTGCAAATTACAGGAAAGATCCCAAATTTTGGGTCTCATCAGGTCGGTCAGGTGCCTCCCAGAGTTTTGGCTGGAGGGGAAGTTCAGCCAATGACCTTGGATATGTTTGAATCTGTTGAGATTCTGTGGCTTCTCTGAAACAGTGAAATTGGACTGACCTTTTCTTTAGTGCCTCCCTTAACCACGAGCTATTTATTTGGATTTATGCACTCTGGGATGTAATAAAACACCTCCCTCAGACCTTAAATCCCGTTTACCCGGAGCAGCCGCGCGAGCCGCGAAAACACCCGCGAGTCCTTCTCTCTCCGCTTCCATGTTCTCCAGCACCATGTACGTCTTTGGAGGCTTCAACAGCCTCCTGCTGAGTGACATCCTGAAGTTCACCCCTGAGAGATGTGAAGCTTTTGCCAACGAGTCGTCCTGCCTGCGGGCAGGGCCCGGGGTCAGGTGTGTGTGGGCTCCCAACCCTCCCCGCTGCGTCCCGTGGGAAAACGCCACCCTGGAGCAGCAGCAGAAGATCTTTGAAGACTGTCCTCCCAAGCCAGGTATGTGCCACATTCCTTCCATCCCCCTTTCCCAGGTGCCTGGAGGGTCTTTTTCCCCTTTCCAAGCCCTGCCATGTGTTGGTTGTGTGCCATTATGAGGTCGAGTTGTGGTTGTGCTTCCATATGTGCCCGGGAGTCCTTCCTCTGACCAGGTGTCCTGGAGATGTTTCCATGTCTCATTCCTGAAGCTGTTCATGAAATCTTTTTCCTGTCTTGCTGCTTGGACTTGCTTTTCCATCATCAGCCAGGAATCAGGCCTGGACCATCACTGTAGATATTTGCTCCAAGAATTGACCTTTGGAGAACCAGCAATTCCCTGATCAGCAAGGAAGGGCATCTGGATCTGGTGGAATTATCCTGTGCTCTTCAAGAGAGGCAGCAGGAATAACTTCAGGAGCAACTTTAGGAAAAATTACTTTATTTTTTGGCAGAGGGGATTGAAACCAAATGATCTTTAAGGTCCCTTCCAACCCAAACCCTTCTGGGATTCTGTGTATAGGGACAAAATGAATGAATCTTTTAAGGTCTGATTCCTGTGTTTTCCCTCAGGATAATTTTAAAACAACTCGATCCTGATGCATTCATTGAATTATCCAGCCCTTAATTCTGTAATAGATTGTCATCCTTTAATTATTTAATAGAAACTGATGTGAGGGGGACGTTGCTTTGCTGGGCTCTCAACCTACAATAGATTTTCACGAACCACAGGCAATAAATGATTGGAAAGATGAGTGAAAAGTTCAAGCTTGGCATGGAAATGCTCTGCTCGAAGGACAGGCTTGCAGGAAGATGGTGGGAAACGATCACTGTCCTCATGGAATGTCTGAACATCCATGTTTGTGTCTTGCTGCATTTTCTGGCCATGTGTTTTAGGGCTAAAAATGTCAATAAATGCAATTTTCCATTAGTCCAATGCCATGGAATTCCCTGATTTTAGTTATCTGCCACCCTTTGGTTGTTTCTTTGGCTGTAAATAACCAAGTTTTGTTTCTTTGGCTGTAAATAACCAAGTTCTTAGAGCTGTAAATAACCAAGTTCTCGGAGCTCTGTCGGGAAATGCCTGTTTTTGGTCATGCAGGTTTTTTTCTTTACTAGTTGTAGACAATGAAAAATGTGATCAGATTACAGACTGCTACAGCTGTACAGCCAACACCAACAGCTGTCAGTGGTGCTCTGACCAGTGCATCCCAGCACACAACAACTGCACAGAGGAGCAGGTAATGGGAACTGAATATTCCTTGCTTTAAATTTACCCTGTGGAATAGCAAATGCCCCCATGGTTTTGTCTATCAGTGTTATAATCCTCGTTTTCTTATTCCTTAGCTCTAAAGTGCTACATGCTTGGGTTTTTTAAGTTGATCCAAGGGTTTTTCATGGGATTTCCCAGTGGGTTTAGGAGGGCTGTGGGCACAGGGAGAGGCAGAGGTTTCACTGGTGTGAATCACAATGGTGTGATTATTCATTAGTCATATTTCAAATTTGATACCAACGGAGCTTCCCCTAAAAAATAACAAATTAACCCTCTCTTGTAGAAGCTCTAGTGAGGAAAACCTGTCAGGTGGTGGTTTTGGGGAATATCTGGGATACCCAGCCATGCAGCTTTTGGATATATAAATACCCAAAATGTATATAAATGACTTTATAGGGCTGGACTGGGATGTTCAGTGTTGCAGTCACGGCTGTTAAATCCCCACATTGGTTGGATATGGGAAAAAGCCTCCCCTGTGCTGTTTCTTTTTAGGTTCCTATTACTCTCTATGACAATTGTCCCAAGGATAATCCTGCTTATTACTGTAACAAAAAGACAAGCTGTAAAAGCTGTGCCATGGATCAAAACTGCCAGTGGGAGCCCAGGAATCAGGAGTGCATTGCTTTGCCAGGTAGGTGCTGGTTATATTCATGTAAGAAAAAAACCCCCAAATTCAAGTTTTTGAGGGGTTTTTTTGTTCATTTTTATCTTTTTCACCCCCCAAATCTACAATTTTTAGTGCTAGGCTGGAGTAAATAATGTTGTTTAATCATACCAGCTCTGGCATGAAACTTAATTTCTGGTAAATCCATCAAATCTGCTGGAATATTTTTTCAGTCCCAATTGTCTGAAGAGGGCTGTGATCATGTGTGTAATTATTAGGCTGTATTTCATCTCTCCCTTTCCATTTGATAAAAGCTGTTGATAATAGGCTTCTGCAAGATATTAGAGTTAATAATGCATGCTATTTAATTTGGGGAACTAAATTGGTGCAAAAGCATAATGGCACATACTGGACAAATTAGGCAAGTAACACCTGAAGTGTTTAAGGAAAATTCTCCTGTTCAAGTGTTTCCAGTGGAGCTCACAGGAGCTGGTTATTAGTCCTCTTGGAGTAACTTTTTTTTTTATCCTAATGACTGGGGGGAAAAAATACAGGATCTTCAGTGATTAACATTTGCAGGTAATAAAATATGGAGAAAGGGGGAAAAAAACCCACCAGACAGGACATTTTAATGGGCATGGAAAGCCTTCCCCCAGGAACTCTGATAAGCTTGGACGTGTCCAGGTCTGGTTTTGCCAGTCTGGAAGAGTTAAAAATCGAGGAAACTTTGGATCAGAGCCACGAGAGTGAGAAAAAAACATCTTTTAATGAGGTAGATCAAGAGCTTGGTGCGTTTAATTTGATGTAGAAAAGGGGGTGACTCGATCACAGGTGTAAAAAGCCCATCTGAAAAACTGACACTTGAGAGCTTTTCAATCTGTTCAGTCTAAATTCCCACTGGAAATGCCCAGCAGGGTTTTTTGTACGGGAAATAACGAACCACGGAACGTAAGGAATTCTTCAGGAGTGGGATTGTGCTCCAGATGAACCAGGGATTAATCCCGGAAGTTCATTCCAGGGACAGGATTAGCACAACAACCCTCTCCTGCCTAAAAAGGTCCCCTGGAAACTGTGTGTGAATAAGTGGTTTTAAGCCATCAACAAAATACTAGTTTGGTTTATTTTCCTCTTTCTCCTACAATGATTTTACTCTTCAACACTGTAATAAATGCTTTGATTACATACTGCAAGGTAACTAAATGCTGGTGTCAGACTTCAGCTGCCCTAAACAGCTTTTCTTCTCCAATATTAGGATTTAACAGGGGAATATTGCTGGATAATAGCAAGGGAATACACTGGATATCCCACTAATTAAGTGTGGAGTAAATTCCTAAAAACCTGTGGCAACCCTTCCCTAAGAGTGTTGAAACCCTTCCACTGGGGAGGAAGATCAATGCTCCTCTCTAGTTCTGGGCACACCAGTAAGTCAGACTGGTTTGGGGTGGGGCTGTAGGTTTTATTTTAGTAGAAGGGTTCATGGAATCATTAAAATTGGAAAATACCTCCAAGATCATCATCAAGTCCAACCTTTGACTGAATCCCACCATCCCACCAAACCACAGCACGAAGGGCCACATCCACTCTGTTTTCTGGACACTTCCATGGATGGGGACTCCCAACACTGTCCTGGGCAGCTGTGCCAGAGCTTGGCAACATTTTTAGGGAATAAATTTTTCGTGAAATCCAACCTAAACCTCCCCTGGCACAGCCTGAGGCCGTTCCCTCTCCTCCTGTCCCTTGTTCCCTGGGAGCAGAGCCCGACTTCTCCCCACCTCCCCCCTCCTGTCAGGGAGTTGCAGAGCCAGAAGGTCCCCCCTGAGCCTCCTTTTCTCCAGGCTGAGCCCCCCCAGCTCCCTCAGCTGCTCCAGCCCTGGGAACAACAGCACAAGGACGTGGAGCTGGTGGAGAGAGTCCAGAGGAGGCCCCGGAGCTGCTGCCAGGGCTGGAGCCCCTCTGCTCTGGAGCCAGGCTGGGAGAGCTGGGGGGGTTCCCCTGGAGAAGAGAAGGCTCCAGGGAGAGCTGAGAGCCCCTTGCAGGGCCTGAAGGGGCTCCAGGAGAGCTGGAGAGGGACTGGGGAAGGGAACAGACCCTTCCCCAGCTCCGTTCCCTTCCCTGCACACGCTCCAGTCCCTCCATGTCTCTCCTGTCTGAGGGTCCCAGAACTGCCCCCAGGGCTGGAGGTGCCCCAGTGGTGCCAGCACAGGGCTGGGACACACAGACCAGGGGCAATTGGCCTTCTTACCCACCTGGACTCATGTTCTTTCATGGTTCTTTCCCTCCTTTGAACGCTGTGAGGGTCACCTGTGTCTCTGCGTTTACTTTCTCTCTCCTCCCTTCCCCAGAAAACATCTGTGGAACAAACTGGCACTTGGTTGGCAACTCCTGCCTGAAGATCACCAATGCCAAGGAGACCTATGACCATGCCAAGCTGTCCTGCAGGTCCAACGGTGCTCTGCTGGCTTCCCTCACCACCCAGAAGAAGGTGGATTTTGTCCTGAAGGAGCTGCAGAAGATCCAGTCCTCGGTGAGCGCTTTTTTTCTGCCCCCCTGAGTAATGAAGCTCTGCCTGTGGAGAAGTCCCTGCCAGGATATTGTGTGCTCTGTACACAACAGAAATGCCTCTTAACCCAAAAGGACTGATCTCCTTTTGAAATTCAATGCACCCTCTGGGTGATTCTGAGCCGAGATTGTCGGGAATGTAAATGGGAAAGATAAATATAAACACACACGGTGCCTCAGAGGTATCACTTTCTGTAATGGAATCACCCCCCGTGTTTCCCTGGTGGGATCCAGGGCTGCAGCAGGAGCCCTCTCCTGGCTTGTACACAATATTTTATAAATAAAGGTCCCTCTGGGGCACTGGAGGTGTTTCATGCAAAGCACTGGAACTTATTTATTCTGCTCAGAAAAGCAGCTGTTTAAAATGTCACCTCCTCATTCCACGGAGCCGCTTGGCTTATTTGGAGTTATTTACGTGGGATTCAGTGGCAGGTGCTTTTTTTGTCGGAGCCAGGGAGAAGTGAATTGGAATCTGTCCCTCTTCATGCATCAGTAAAATAAATACAGATATTTTTCCAGTCCTTGGGAGGAGCAGGGAATGTTCAGGGCAGGTTGTGTAGGTGGTGCTACAGCCCTGACAGAGAACGATGCTGGGCAGTGTCCCTGAAATCCTGGGTTAGGCTGGAAAACTGCTGGGATTTCATGGCATGCTCTGTTACATCAGAGTAACAACTCCTGGGTCCCAGAGGCCACTGTGGGAAGAGTTTTATCCAGGATAAATGAGGCTGGAGGCAATGGGATTGCTGCTTTTCAGGGGAGAACGTGCTTCAGTACTTAAGAGAAGTATTCCCCTGTCGAAACAAGAACATTCCCTGCTTTGATTCCCTTTGTAATTTTAAAGTGGAATTTCAACAATTGCAGTGTTTTAGAGTGGAGTCAATTTAGCCAAGGAAAGGTAAAGTGTAATTTAAGCAGGATTGTTTGTTAAATCTTTTGTAAAGAGGAAACCAAGCCTGGAATGTTGTAAAGGTACCTGGTTCTGACAGCTCCAGGTGTTTCTGGATATCCCAGGAGTTCAGTGTAGAATTAATTCCTAAAGAAACATGGCAACATGTTTAAATCCTTACACTGGGGAGAAAAAAATTCATTAATTTACAGGGTTTTTTTCCTATTTATGGTGTCCTTTGAAAAGTGAGTCTAAGGAGACTGTGAGCCTTTTTTAGGGGATATTGGTGTGGAATGCTTGTAATGTGGGAAACTGTATCCTGGGCTGATCCCCCAGTGTGGGCAGCAGGGCAGGGGGGG